TGGGCTCCAGGACTTACAGCAAGGACACCACTGGCTTCCCTGATTTTGAGATCTTTGGACTCAGACTAAGCCATGCTACTAGCATCCAGTTTGCGGACGGCCCATCGTGGGAATTGTCTTCACAACTGGGTGAGCTAATTCCCCTAATAAATCCCCTCTCATATGTTTGTAACATATCCTATTGATTCTGTCTCTCTGGAGAGTCCTGACTAATATACCATTACTCTTTAAAAATCTTGTCTCTCCTCTTTTCTCATTTCAATCTTTTGGGAACTTCAATTAAATATGTAAAAAATACCAATATTCTAACATCTGTATCTCATCTTCTTTCTTATATTTTTGCATTTTAGTGTCTCTCCAAGGCGTTATTACTATTTTGAATAACCTAGATCTTTCTTCTGATTCATTTATTCTTTCTTGAGTTATGTGTAATCTGCTGCTTCATTTATTCATTGGGGTTTATTCAGAGACTAAGATTTTTATTTCAATAATTACATTTTTCATTTCTAGAAATTATTTTTTTCCCAAATTTATCTGGTCATTTTTTTATGGTCTCTTCTTTCTTTCAAATCGCTCCTTGATTTCTGTCAACATGTTAAGCATACATTTTATACTTTACATTTGAGAATGCTAATATCTAATGTGCTTTTGAGTATAACTATAATGTTTTAAAATTTTACTCTTTGCCACAAATGTTTATCTCCTTGTATATTTTTAATTTTTGTTGATCTTAATATGCAGGACTACTACAGTGCCTGGATTTTGGGTACATTTCTTCAAAAAGGGCTTACATTGCTTCTGCCAGGTACTTGTGATGTTATCAACCAATTTAGGAAGAATTTAAATGAATAACCAGGGTTGAAATCTCAAACACTATGGAAACAGTATAAACTTGAACTCACATGAGGGCAGCCTCATGGCGATGGTTTCTTAAAGAAGCCTTCTATTTTTATTTTATCACCAGAGCTGCAGCCTAAAACAAACATTTCCTTGGTGGCTCCCTTTGCCAGCAGATAGATGTCTTTTTCGTAGCCCTTTTTTTTTTTTTCCTTTTTGTCTTTTTTACTGACCAGTAACGGGATCGCAACCCTCAGTGTCGCGCCCATACCGGGGACCGGCAAGGGGATCGCAACCCTCGGTGTTGCGCCTGCACCGCGCTCAGCCAGTGAGCGGAACCGGTCTCCACATGGGATCCGAACCCTCGGTGGGAGCGCCACCACGCTCCCAAGTGTCGCACTCTCCAGTGCGCCACCAGGCCGGCCCATAGCCCATTTTTTCACTGAAGACGAGATTTTGAAAGCTCCCAGCTTTACAGCATGTCAGTTTTGGTTCATCGTTTTGGGAGAATAAATTTCTGTTGTTTTAAGCCACCCAGTTTGTAGTACTTTCTTACAGCAGTCCTAGGAAACTAATGCCGGGGTCATTGTAAGGTTGATGAAGGAAGGTTGGAAATGGGCAGAAGATGATTCAAGGTCTGTCTTTGCCTTATGTCAAGTCATAAGCTGTAGTTTAGGAGCACCTTGGTTCTGTAGATTAGTCAGAAATAAATATAAATCCACACCAAAATTATTACATAAGCAATGGGAGGAAATTTAATTTCCAAAGATTGGTTTATATTCAACATATCCAGAGTCTACCTGTTATATAAAATGTAAATGTTGGTTGTACTAAGCAAAAATTCCTGCCAGGAATTTTCTTGCCCAAAGCATTTAACAATCTACCTGGCAAATGGGGAACAATTGTGAACTAGGAAGCTCCCTGAGATTGGATATCTCAGTGAAATGAGCAAGAGTAAGCCAAGAAGTGGAGGAAAAACAGTCCTTTCTATTTTTCATTTCAAATTCAGGGAAAGATTTAAAGCATAGGCATCAAAGTACCTCTCAAGTAAAGGATATGCATCTATTTATAATATTTTTCAAGGATCAGGAGGAGAATGCAAATAAAGCCTTTGAAAATGTGTGTGAACAAACGTCTATGTGAACATATGGCAGGGGAGTGTGATCCTATTAAACACTTGCTGTGTTTGGCAAGAGCAAAGAGCTAGATAGAATGCCTGCTCACTTAGTTCTTCCCACCCCCTAAGATGTGTGAGCCTTAGCAGGTGGGAGGATCTGTGACTTGTTTCCTGAGGTCCATGTAGGAAGGACAAATTATAACTGCAGCTGCAGTTAGCGGGGAGTGCTTTGTCCAATGCCATGACAATATCAGGACATAAGTGGAGAATACATGTTGCTCTGAGGGTGGAGCCTAGAAAATGTGTGAAAGGAAGATGCACGGTGTCCTTCCAGTTGCTGAGGAGGAACTGCACTGATGTATTTATAGAGCTCTGTCAATACGTATGGGCTCTGAATCTCACTGAGAGGCTATGTGCCAGATCAAATGTTCCTCCACACCCTATTAGGCCTCTCTGCCTTTGATGATCCACTTTAGAACTGGGAAGAAACTGGGAAGGCTCTTTGGCACATGCTATTTCATTTGCTCTGGATACTCATCTCTCTGCTAGACCATCCTTCAGATCTCAGCTTGTATTTCATCTGCCTAGGGAAGATTCACTGATCACCATGTTCTTCATATAGTTGGGATTTCGCACATTTGTAGAAATTCACTATTTATCACTATCGTTTAATACCTGTCCTCATCAGATTGTATGAGGTTCTTTTTTGTTCACTGTCGTTTTCTTAAAGCCTATAGAATGCCTGACACACAGTAGGCATTCAATAAATATTGCTGACTTATTGACAGTCCAGTTTCCTGCTCTTAAAAAATTGCTGGCTTATACTTCATTCTTGACAAAAGTTAGAGGTATGTAGTAAAGGAGACTTTTTTAAAAATTCCACACTTTCAAAGAACTCCTTCGCATTAAAAATGGAAGGAAGGAAGGAAAGAAGGGAGGGAGGGAAGAAGGCAATTCAATGGAAAATGGGCAAAGGTTATGGAGAGGCAACTCACAGAAGAAATTCAAATGGCCAACAAATATTTGTATACAAGAAGATGCTCATCCAGACTAGTAATCAGGGAAATGAAAATTTAAAACAATATTTTATATTCTTGGATTGACAAAACTTTTAAAAATTGATCATTCATTGTTAGCAAGGATTTAGAGGATAATATGCTTTTATACACTACTGGTAGGAGTTCAAAATAGTACAATCTGTATGGAGGTTATTGGTAGTATGTTTTAAATGTTTAACTGTGTCTATATTTGCAGGATTGTTTAATAGGGAAAAACGGGAAACAACTTAATGTCATGTAATAGGGAAATGGTTAAATTATGATGCATTCCTACTATGGAATCCTATAACTATAGGTATTGACACTGATGAAAATCATGTAAAATTTTTTAAAAAGGAGATTGCAGAACAATATGTATAATATGATCCTAGTTAAGTAAAAATATATAAAAGTATAATCTCCAAAGGAAAAGGTCTTAAAGGACTCATACATTTTATATTTAATAGTTGGTGTGAATCCTTTGAGACCTTTTCTCCTGAGGAAGTGAGATTGGGGGTTTTCACTTTTTACAATGAACATGTACTGCTATTTTAAAAAATAACTTTATTGAAGTATGATTAACATAAAATAAACTGCACATATTTAAAGTGCCCAATTTGATTACATTTGACATTGAATCCATCTGCGAAATCATCACCACAATCAAGACAATATCCATCAGCCTCCCAGAACTTCCTTGCATCTCTTTACAATTCCTTCTTCCTGCCTCGTTCTGACCCCCCCATACCTTAGCAACCACCGATCTACTTTGTCACTACAGATTAGTTCACATTTTCTAGAATGTTACATAAATGTAATCATACAGTATGTACTTTTTTTCTGGCTTCTTTCACTCAGCATAATCATTTTGAGATTCATCCACGTTGCTGCATGTATCAATAGTCTGTTCTTTTTAAATTGCTGAGTATTATTCTTCTGTATAGATCTATCACAATTGGTTTATCCACTCACCTGTTGATGGACATTTGGATTATGTCCAGTTTTCAGCTATTACAAATAAAGCTGCTATGAACATTTGTTACAAGTATCCATGTAAGGATACTTTTTCCTTCTTGGGCAAATAGCTAGGGGTGGAATGGCTGGGTCATAAGACAGGTATATGTTTAGCACTTTAAGAAATTGCCAAAATGTTTTCAAAGTGGTTGTACCATATTACATTCCCACCTGAGACTGGAGTATGGGGCTGAGGCAATAAATGAATGGTCCCTTCACCATTATCAGGTAAGGTAATGACAACAACCATCAGTTCTCTTTAGTCAGATTCCTTTGAGAATCTAATTAAGGTCACGTTTTGTGCGGGATGTAGGATGATATGCATATGAACAAATGTCAAACTCACGTTGGAAATGGCGATGGCCTTAACAAGAACTGTGACCGCTGGAATGGAAAGAAGCAGGCTGAAGTTCAGACATATTGAAAAATTAGAATTGTTGGGACTTGGCAAAAGGAAGAGTAGACAACGCCCAGGTTTTAGTGATCAAGTGACGGTGTTGTCAACAGAGGGGAGGAGTCGGTCTGGTGGGAGGAAGAAGTCATTTCTGGCTTACTGCCTGGGAGGTGACCACTCGACACAAAGTTGGGTAGGGGACACGGGGAATAATTGCAATTTGTGGTAATGAGCATGCTGATAGTATTGATCTGATCATCACATCTTGGGTACAGGTGGTGACGGTCAACTTTGTACCCCATGAATATGCATAACCAATGAAAAAAAGAGGAAGCAGCTGTAAATGTAAATATCTGGGTGGAGATACAGACTTCTGGTGCAACAACATTCAGGTTCAGGTGAAGTGTCAGGAGCAGCTGTAATCATCAAGTGTAGTCAATAAATTCGTATCTCACAGACCAATTACAGAGCACACACACCACGTTACCTCCCAGAACGTGCGCAAGGGCGTCAGACTTTCTGACCTACGCGCTCCGCCCGACTCAATTCTGCGCATGCGTGCAGAGCATGCGCACCGCCCCCACTGCCGCCGCTCCCTTCTCTGGGCGCCGGGGCTCCCTTCCTCCTGGCCGGCCCCGCCCAGGCGGTTGCCCGTGACCTGCCTTGGCGCAGGGAACGGAAAGCCGGAAGGGGCGAGACGAGTTCAATCGCCATGGGGCTGTTTGGAAAAACCCAGGAGAAGCCGCCCAAAGAGCTGGTAAGGGCTACGGCGGCGGTAAATGAGTGGGTGGATTTGCTGAGGTCGTCGTAGAGTTGGTAGGCGACTGGACAGTCTTCCCCCGGCTGGCCAGGTACCGCCCGGCCCCCCATTTCCGGGGCCTTCCACTTGACCGAGGGGTCGGAGGAAGAGTTTCTGAGGGGTTGGCTGTGGGGAGAGAGCTCCTGGTACCTCGGCTCTCCACCAGGAAGCCGAGAGGTGGACTAAAAGCTCCTCAATCTCGCCACAAGGCGCGGAGGCAGCGATGCGATCCTGGCCTTTGGAAACCCCTCCCCCTGCCCGCGTTGGTACGTCCCGCCCGGAACTGTTCCCAGCGCAGGCCCCGCCCCTCACGCCCGTTTGTGGACCACCCGGCGGACCTGCTCCTACCCGGATCGCTGTTCCTGGGGGACCGGGGCATGACCCTTGCGCCCCTTCCCTGTCCACGCTGCTGTATTACGAGGGAGGTTCTGTTTCCTCTTTCCCCTCCCCTTCAACCTTATGTTGACTCCAGACGCACATTAGTTATAGCAGGGACTCGACCTAGGAGAGTGCTGTGGAGCCGGCTTCGAACTCTGGGTCTGCCAGTTAATTGAGATAATATCGGGAACACATGTGATTGAAAATGCCCCCACAGAGTCATTCTGCTTCAGTTTGAATCCTGGTTCTCCACATCTCAGCTCTCTGATCTCGGGAAAGTTAACTCCTCTGTCCCTTAGTCTTCTCGTCCGTCGAGTAAGAATGACAATAGTATCACTTAAGAGTAATTGAAGATTAAAGGATGTGAAGTTATTAGCGGTAGGTAGGGCTAATTCGTTATATACAGTGGGGGCTTAGCTACTCAAGTGCAGACCAGCAGCATCAGCATCACCTGGGAGCTTGTCAGAAACCTCGGGCCCTATTCCACACCTGCTGAATCAGATTTTGAATTCTGACAAGATCCCTAGTGATTAGTATGTACATTGATGCTTGAGAAGCACTGCTCTACTACACCCAGACTTGTTCAAAATGGGAAAAACCTAAAATCCTTAATAAATGATCTTACCTGTTCATCTCTGACAGTCATGTTTTTAAAACCAGTCTCATGCATCATGCAGTTCCTAGTACATAAAATGTGCGTTAAAGTTAATTGTTTTTTGTTAGTGAAAGGCCCTAGAACAATAGGCATTCAATAAGTGTTATTTTCATCAAACTTACTCAGTTTTGCTCACTAGTAAAATAAAAATTGTGAAGCTTAAAGAGATAAGAGTGTGTAACATCACTTTGTAAATTGTAGAACGTTATGTAGATGCACATTTTATGGCATGTGTATATTCTAAGATGCTTGTTATTGTAGAAGTATGCTTTTGATGGTAGGGAGGGATTATTTATCTTTAGTATTTGACCTTAGCTTTGCCATTTACAAACTGAGGTAAGATTCTGGAGAAATGGTCTCATTGCTGTTTAAACTGATCTCTAGTGTATGTATTACTTGTATAGCACTTAAACTATTTTCTTTCTTTTTTTTTTTTTTTTGTCTTTTTTCGTGTCCGGCAACGGATCGCAACCCTCAGTGTTGCGCCCATACCGGACCAGGACCGGCAACGGGATTGCAACCCTCAGTGCT